TTTAATAAAAGTAAAATGTAAAGTGCTTTTTTACACTTGAAAAATGCGTGGCAAGTGAATTCTTGACGTGCGCGCGTTACTTCGTTCAACTGCCATTTACCCGAGCCCATGGCCTGGCTCGCTGCCGCCGGAAGCCTTGGCGCCTCGGGGGAGGTATCGCCTGCGAGCCCCCGGGGCTCCGGGCCGGGGGCGCGGCGACGCCACGCAGTGACACGAGCTCTCACGCAATGTGTCTCAGTCGGGCGTGAGAACCGATCCGCGGCTCTCCTCCCCTCATCGGATGTAAACAATCAGATTCAAATGATGATAGATCCCGTTTCTTGTCTGTGCGCGCTTGCAGAATTATGCCGCACTCGCGTAGACACTACTTATTTTATTCTCATAGAGTTTCTTTTTTCGTCCCGTCCTTCGTCTGTGGCCGTGCAGGACCTCGAGAAGGGTCATCAGCTAGCTGTTATTGTGAGGCACTTCGCGTTATCAGACTCAAAGGTCCGGTGGTGGACAGCGCGCGGCCACACGTCGCCTCTGGAGCGGCGGACAGCGACGGTTTTGAATTATCGTCCAAATATAATCGGGTTAGGCGGCCCCGTATGTCTGCCGGGACACAATGGTCCGCGCCGCGCCGCGCCACTCCGCACAATTAGGAGTATCTGGAGCCGCCGCAACAACGCAAACGAACTCTCAATCGGATGCAGCCGCCGCGCGCGCGCAAGCCACAACAACACAATTGACAACAACAACTTTAAAAAAAAATCAATAAATTTTCAGACAGGAACAAATAATAAAAATACGACGAAAACAGACGTCCGGAGGGGGAAAAAAAAGGAGGGAGTTGTTATTTTGCACAGAGTAAAGCAGCAGGCAATGGGACAAACCAGTTCCTTCCTCCCTGCGCAGTATCGGTATCCGACAGAGCGGAGTGAAGGACCGGACCAACTGCCATAAAGACGAAAATAGACAGTGACGCGCGCAGGTCGCGTCCGAAGGAGCAGGTAAAGAAATTTGTATCCCGTCTTTTAGTGCGGATAGTCCGCCAGCTGCCGCCCCATACCGCGACGACGACGGCGACGCAGGAACCACGCGACTCCAGGTGAGTTAGTTTTGGTCATTTGTCTGTCCGCGGTTTCGCCGGGCTCGAATTATTATCGCTCGCTGCTGACCAAGCAGATAACCGGATCTAAGCCAATAAACCTCCGAAAATTTTGACATATCGTCGAGGGGTAGAATTTTCCCTCTGCTAGGCTCTGTGATTTAAATCAGCGTTTTCTGGTGAGGGAAAGGAAGTCGCTCCGCGCGGACGCAGCCCCCACGGACTGACTTGGGGCACGCTCGCCCGGTCCTGATTGGCTATCGGGGAAATGCGACAGCTCTGCTTTACGGCCAATCAAAGCTTCCGCCTCTCATTCAAATGCCGTGGCGCGCGCATTTCAAAGGGATGCAGATTTAACACGTCCGTAGTCGAAAAGGTGTGAAGAGGAAATTGCAAAACACGGCGAAGTATGATACGGAGAGGTATGCGCACATGATAAAAGCGGCAAACTCTTCGTCCCCCGTGTGCCCCCTCTCCGTTCTCGCCGTATCTCCGCTCCAACTCCCCCCTCCCACTACCTCTGCTCATCCTTTTTACTTGCCCGGTTTGACCGTTCGACGTTCGGTCGTATCTCTGAGCCTGAGTCCCGGGTCGCTATCAGCCGGGCGCGACGATCGAAAACAATCTCAATTTAATTTGGACGAGATTTGATAGGTGACGAGGACTGGCATTCCGCCCGCCTCCTGCGTGAGAGACGAACAACATAATATTACGGAAAACAACTTTTGCTCCTCGGTCGAGGTGCATATACAGTGCCTCCGCCGTGCATTTGGGCAGAGAGATAAGAGCTTATCTATGTAATCCGACATGTACGACCAGCGTCCATACACGAAAAAAAGTGTCAGAGGTATCACAAAGTGTTTTTCATACATGTAAGGTGACGTAACTTCTATGAGGAGGTAAACCCAATCATGTTCAATTTTTAAACCGAAACCGTAAAGTTTGCGAACTTTTAACAACCTAGGTTGAGAATCATAGGCGAGTCTCATAAATTTCCCAAAGTACATTTACTGTACCTATCAAAATTATTTAAAGCAGCAATTATTCTAGAAAGAGAGACAAATAATGACACTATGACGCTTGCACATTGGAGTGCCGTCGGATACGGCTCTAGCTATCTCTCAGATAGCAGCCCTTGTCCCCTCTGCTTGCACGGTTACTCTGCACTGTTTTTTTCTGTTTCTCTCTGGAGCGCCGGCGCGCTTCGCGCCTCCCGCGTCCCCCCCCCCCTCCCTCCACCTCCGCTGTAGGGCTTATCCCCTTCCTATATCTGTCGACAAATATTTTCCTATCTCACGCGCCGGCCGAGGGGGGAAAGGCAAGAGAAGAGTTCTTCCTGCCGACCGGCGGCCAGGCCAGCAGCGCTTTAGCCTCGGCTAAAGCCAGAGCAGCCTTAGCAAACCTGTTGCGCTAGACGATGAATGACCTCCCCCTCCCCCTCCCGCTGGCAGGAGACTGTGGG